TTTAATTTTCTAGATAGTTCGATTTTAATTTCTTAGATAGTTCGATTTTAATTTTCTAGATAGTTCGATTTTAATTTTCTAGATAGTTCGATTTAAATAAAATTAAATAATTATATAACAATTTATATGGACTGGTACATATCTGATTTGAATTATATTGAGTTTGATCTGAATCCGATTTGAATCTGATAATTTTGTAAATTTAAAATTTGATTCGATCCGAATCTGATCAGATTAAAAATTTTGGAAATTTGATCTGATCTGATTCATATCTAATTCACAAATCAATCAGATTCGGATCAAAATCATAAACACTAGTTATCACAATGAGTAGGTAAGAACAGATTCACTGGACAACAAAGGTTCCATTTCTCATACCTCTTTTCCTATAGCTTCTTCCTCCCCAACTCTCTTCAACCCAGTTCTAGATATTCATAAAAACCCTTTGATTTGTTTAGTTACTTGGAAGAATATTAAAAGAAGTTTCAACATATGTAGGGTATAGCAAAATATAGGATCAAAATTGAAAAACACAAGAATCTCAACTTGGAAGTACTGAAAGCAACTGAAGAACAGATATTGTGCTCTTAACTGATGAAGTTCTCGAAAAGTATTCAGCCAATAGTATAGAAGTAATAGTAGTAGCATGGTCTCAAATATCAACTTTATAATGGATTACTATTTTCCCTCTCTCGTCAAGTCCTTTCAAAATGTGAACAAAATCCTCTCCCCTATTGATTCTTGTATAACTATTGTTTCTAATTATTTCTCTTAACAGTAGACAATTGCTCAAGAAGATTAATATATGAATATATATCTTCAGTATTGAAATAAGTTAAACAAATCAGATTTGATATACACATCATTCTTCTTTTAAAAATTTTATATTGCCCTAATGGTCCTCTTATTAGATCTTTGTCTAGAGATGATTTAGCCATGAGATGATTTTTTAACCTATTATTAGTTTACTAGCTTATCATTATTTTCTTCTAGTCAGATATATCTATATAGTAAAACTTCACTAATAAATTTGATCAAGCCAGCTTTAAAAAAAAAAAAATATTTCTTATTATTAAATAATATAATTTTTTTTTTTTTTGAGTGGCAAACTTCACATAAATATGCGATTTTATTGATATATATAGTAATATCTAATTAGTATATCTGAATGTCTTCTATTATATCTGCATATGTAAAGTTAACACTACCTATAACTAAATATAACAATTAAATCACTATTTTAACCTGATATATGTTCATTTAAATATTGTCAGGGGTGTGATTACACATCAGGTAAAATTATACGTAGGAATAGAAGTCCTATCACTAGTTTAAATCACCATATACTGAATTCTACTAAGTCATTAGAAGCATGTACCTTTCAAAATTGATTAGAACACTTGGATAACCCATTCAATACTTTTTATTTGAAACCTCAGAGAAGATACTATACTCGTTCTTACCACCTGTGGCTTCTGATTATTCTTGTGGAGAGTCACTTATTTTAAGCAAATGCCAGATTGGAATAGCCTTAAGCTAGGATATTCTTTGTGCTATAGAGTCTGCCATGTCAGAGGAGTTGTGGGCTTTTTATAGAAGTTAGACCAGAAACCTTTTCTTCTACAACCTTTCCTGCTTCAACCTGATTTCAGCCTGCGATCATCAGAAAGACCAGAGGTTCTATTTTCATGCAGCCTAACTGAATTTGGATGGAATTCAGATGATTGAGTATGACTTTCACAGGGAAACCAACAAAATCTAATCAGAAGGATAATTTGCAATTTTGGTTCTTAAGTAGTATTGCACTACAGACCTTGTGATTGTAACCTGGGAGCACTACCACTGTGCTATAGACCCACAAATCTAAAGTAAGTAGTGTAATTCTTTAATTAATAATATACTGTATAATATTGAATTGGTTATATTTTAGATATTAATTTAATGTCTCAATAAAAACATTATAATGAAATGATAGGTAAAAAAATTTTTTTTACAAATTTTAAAACTTTAAATTTTGAGAAATTAATTAATAGAATACTTTTTTGTGATGATATTTCATAAATTGCCAAACAAGTAAAAAAAAAGAGATTATTTAATCTTGCAAATTAATAACCATAAAAAAATATAAAAAAAAAAATTTTTTTTTTGATTGTTAAGACTTATGCAATATTATTCGTGATGCAATTATAGAGTACTTTGTATATACTCGCAAAGTTCAATTTATTTAAGTCTGATTGCAAATATCAAAACATATTGGATTCTATAGTACCATCTTCCTTTATGCTTTACATATCTTTGCTAGAATAAAATTGTAAGTAGATTCGCGCCTCTCTTTTTTTTTGGTTGTCAGGACAATTGTGTAATTTATGATATTAAAAGTTTTTAATTAGAACATCGGTGACACTTTTACACATACGGTTGACTATAAACTCCATTGTAAATTAAAAAGAGCAGCGTAAATTTCGAGGAACCTGAATCGTTGCGATCACGAATCAACGTCATCAGCCATGTAAGGCACATTCCCCAATACTAATCTCGATAGGATCGTAATCATTAGCATTCCCTGCTGACAACCGTCCAATTTGAATAACCTGCCACATTCCTTGACCAGCTCTCGTTACACAACACATGATAACCGCTTGAGAATTGGCGGCTTGCTGGATGGTGTATGTACATAACTCCTTGTCTGGCTGTGTTTCATCGTACAACTTGAAAGTTGGTGTACGGAAATGACCAATAGTAGGCGATTTCCATGAACTAAGGACAAAATAAAGTTGAGTAACTTCCGGTGGAAGCTGGTCAAGTTTAGCATTAATACGTTGATGCCCTAACATTGATCGAAATACATAAATACATATATGATAAGTTCATAAATAGAACAAATTATTAAAGAATTCATCCCTAACCTCGCTTATTAGCATGATCCATATCATCTCCGGAGTGTCTCATATGAGGAAAAGAAGGATAATAGACAGATGCATAATCATACTTCCTCCAAAACGTGTCGCCAGCATATAGCAAGCAACTTCCGTCAAGGTAATCTTGTGATCCATTTGCGGGATAACCCCAGTATAAATCGAATGTCAAGTTCTTAATGGATTCAGCTCTTGTGATATTATAAAGTACAACGATTAGTTGAATGTGGCTTCCGACGCTAATTTTATAATCCGCCAGAGTTGCTCCACGTTCTTGATACGTGTCCTTTTGTTTCAGGTCAAAAGAAAGAGTGAGTTTTAAGTCGAGGCTGAAAGTTAGTCTGAATTTAAAATCCATCGAACCTGTAATTCCACGTTATTATATATCAGCTTTTGTTTCGCAGGATTAACATTGAGCTTCTTGGAAATGCTCGCCCTTAGAGCAATGACAGTTTTGTTTTCTTGCAATAACATGGTCACCTTCTGTCCGCTCAACATTACAATGTAAAATTCTCCTTGGGTAGGAGTGTTGCCGTCAACGGGAGGCATTGGTTGAATTCTTCCGATACTTTCCACATCGATTTTAAAAGGTGCTTTGTCCCATGCTAGATTAAGTGCCTTTACCTCTTGTGAATTTAAAATTGCAGGACATTCCGGACATTTAGGCTGTTTTGTGGATTGTTCGTCAAGTTTGGCTATTAAACACTTTGTTTTTAATGTCAATGTAATTTTTTAATTGAAAAATTTTTACGTGGTTAGTTGCTTAAAAATTATAACTTTTCTGGCAGTCACATACCCGTAAACATAAAGAAGAAATATGTTGACAGCGCTCCGTGACCGTCGTGTAAGGGAACTCCTTAGAGAGTTTTTCGAGCTTGCATTGTCCGCATTTCATTGTCGCTAGGAAAAGAAGAAACGGAAGTCGGAAAGGTGACTATAAAAGTTAATGTGACCTGTGTCATCATCATTTGGGAGTTCAAAAATATTTCATCTTTCCGATTATTTTATCATTCCATTTTTATCAATAATAACATGGTCCAGAAAAACTTGTTTGTGGTCATATTTTATGCACTTTTGGATTTAGAATTTAAAAATAGGTTTAATAACAAATATACTGCAAATCAAGTAAATCACTGGGTTATTTTGTATTAGAAAGTTTTTTTGCTTTACAAGAATAAGTATCAAGTAATGTACAGCATATAACTTATTGAGATATTATACCGGAGAAAACACACCTGCTCGGAGTTGCCAGAATAGAATTTTATGTGTTGCAATTTATACTAAAAGTACATCTTAGCCATTTTATAAATGAAAGAAGTAACAGTTAACCAATAAAATTAACCTAAAATGTTCTTTGATTAAGAATTATTAATACACTATTCTTTACAAAAATTGAAATCTTCGATGGAAAAACCCGCCCCCACACCGTTCACGATTTTTTTTTTTTTTTTTAAAAAAGTCTAAATAGGGTTATGAGTCGTCATTATCTGCTTCGGAAATCTGTTGCAGGGAATGCTCGTTAGATTCGATATCACCAGTGTCCGAATGTTCAAACAGATGTGCACTTGTTCTCGTTGATGGTGAGACGCTTGATGTGATCGTGCCGCCTCCGATGGACTCCCTAAATTGCACCATTCGTGTTCTCTCTATCTCGGACATTTCCAAGAAATCTCCGGAGGTGCTACCCTCCGGTAAGCTCCTACGGCGTAGAGTATCCAGTTCAATTTCTCTCCTACTTGTAGAGTTTAGAGGTCCGGGATTGGTTTTACGACGACGCAAAGGTGGCGCCATGATTCGTCCCGTACCTTCTTCTTGTGAAAATGCATAACCTCGCACCAATTCAGTTAATCCGGTTTGCATATATGTCATGCTACCCGGGGTTTCAGGTATCTCGCCGCTTCCACTCGGTTGATAGTCCATCGATGTTCGAGACTGCGGCGACGTTACAATTTGCTGAGGTTGAAGAACAGTACGATCGGTCGTGAAGCTTGGGCGTGGCGTATCAGTGCTTTTGAGGGATTCTGTTGATCCCCCTTCATATTTGGAATCGCGTGTTTGCTGTCTGGTGAGACCTAAACTTGGGTTGACCTTGATGTCGTTGGTAAAATCATGATTTGGATCCTTCTTGCATATCTCCTGTATGATGTCAACGTCTGTGGGGAAATAATTCCGCTGAATGAATTTCCACGAATACCGCGGGAGCATGCACAAAATTATGGAAACGAGAATAGAGAACCAAAATACCCCCGAGGTATATACTACTTCGTAATAACCATAAACGTCCGCAAATGGGATTAAACTATAGATCGCGACGTAAATAAATATCAAAGCAGTAGATCCAAACACGGAGATATAATGAAACACTGTCCAACATTGGGAGTTGAATCCAGTGAAGAAATTGGCCATTGCGATACAAGCGACCGCCATGGTTGTACCCTCTTCGAGATAATCAGGTTCGCGTCCATATTTGTTGGAGCTCACCGTTCCATAAGCAAGATACGGAACAAAGAAGCAAATCAACGATTGATACAAGCCTTCCATCATAAAAACAAAAAATATAGGCATAGTATATGCTTTTTGCTTAATTCCCATTTGATATAACTCGGGAACCTCGATTGCCACCCTGTCAGGCACATCCCGATCAAATAGTCCTATGGATAAGACGGCAATGCAAGTGAAAAATAGATTCCAAAACAGAAGGTATGTGTACTCGAACACAATTGTTGTGGAATAACCGTCAAAGAATTGAAACCAGAATAGAACACCCACGCCAATCATGTTTTTATAAAAGAAGTTGAGGATCATGGAGGAATTACGAATATAGGCGTAATGCCCATGAACCAATAAAAGCCTGGTGAGGTACCGAAACTGTGCTATGGCATAGTCGGACGCCATCACCGCTTGTAACCCCTCTTCTCCCGCGACACCGATGCCAACGTGCGCAGCCTATCAGGAACAAGATCAGTCGAATCGATTAATTTCCATGTAAAGGTCAATAATATAACGATCTAAATTATCCGCATACCTGTATCATGCTGACGTCATTGGCGCCGTCGCCAATTGCACAAGTGAGAACTTCCTTCCCCTTTTTAACCAATTCCACGACCTTGGCTTTTTGCAACGGTGAAACTCGACAACAAATCACTCCTTTGCATCGGCAAGCCAAATCTAGAAATAGATTACGACTCCACGGTTCTTCCAATGCGTATTTAAGTGCAACTCCATCTATAATCAATGCATGATCGCCGTGCTTTTTAGTTGATGTACCGGAAAAGATTGAGGACGCGCCAAAGCTCATTTGCCGTACATGTGATGTAGAAGGTCGGGGGGTGTTGCTAAATGATGAAACTGGAGGAGCCTGCACAGATTTCATACTCTCCAAGATAGCCTCATCGGTGGGAAAGAACTTTTCCACAGCACTTCGCATCTGATCATATGCACTCCCCGTCTCTCCGTAGGCACCTCCGCGAATGATGATGAGGTTCATGTCCCTGGACAATAAACATGTAGAAAATCCAATACTAATAGCCGTCTCCATCTTGTCACCTGTCAAGACCCAAATTTTAATGCCGGCACGTTTTAGAGTAGCTATGCACTCGGGCACGCCATCTTGCAGGCGATCTTCGATCGCTGTCGCACCGAGAAGGGTCAAATTCTTTTCAATTTGATCGGAAACAGTGGCAATTCTTTGATCTCGATCTACAAGCGATGTCGAAGCTTCACGAAATTCAATGTTCCATTTTTGATATTCTTCGGGGGTTACTTCTGTATAGCCTAAACAAAGTGTCCTAAGACCTACGAAAGACGCGCGGAGGGAATGATTAAATAAGATGATGATACTTGTAATTGAGTTATGTGAGAGGAAAATAAATGGCTCAACCTTCTCTAGCAAATTCTTGTAAATTTTCACTTGTAACATTTGACACAAAGTCCTGTCCACTTTTAAGCCTGTCAAAAATGACATTGTCGGCTCCTTTGCAAAACAAAATGATACGTCCGTCTAATGGAGATCGTACGATAATACTCATTCTCTTTCTTGCACTTGTGAATTCCAAAATATTCATCAACTCGTAATGAACTTCTTCCCCTTCTGGTGTAGTTATAATGATGTTGTCAGACTCACGAGAACGAAAAGTATAACCGACGTCTTTTGCAGCCTGTACCAGTGCCGCTTCGTCCGGTGACTGTGCCCGATAAACTTGTTCGCCATTATCATTGGTGTTGACAAGGACGGTATGACAAATGGCCAGCAACGTAAAAAAGTCTCGGATAAATTTGGATCGGTTTGAATCTGTGGACCGCATATCTAAGGAAAGTTGACTGTCGGAAAAGGGTTTCTTTGTTGGTATGCTAGAACTCTTCGATTCATCATTAATATTACGTGATTCTGGAGGTACCAAATTAAACGATGCCTCTGTTAGCACCGCGGGAGATTCAAAAGTTCTTACAGTGAGTGATTATGAAATGTCCACTTATCATTACCATTATTGTTAATCCCCGAATACTCTCCGTAAATTTTTCCCCCAATTGAGCATTTACGAAATTCCATGACGTTACGAGTTAGAGTTCCAGTTTTATCGGAAAATATGTATTCCACTTGACCTAATTTGTAAAGAGTGGGTGTCAGGGTGTATGCACTATGAGCCATTAAGAATGATGAGTGCATACCTAAATCATCAGATAGATTCCAATTCTTTGGAATGCATGGGGTATCGGTTTCGGTGTAATGTATCTCTTCGTCCATGAAAATGAAGAAAGCCTGAAGTAACACAAAGGAAGATGATGATCTGTTCAGTACGCAACGGGGTGGATATCAAGATTAAGGCGATAGAAAATCGATGACGAGCGAATTGACGTGCAATACGTACTTGGACACTTTTAACAAATTCGATCGATAGATACAACGAAATAGGAACAATATTTTGGAAAGTGATCAACGCATTCCTGTCAATTAAATTTTGAACATTCGGTCATAAACAACACTTTTTTTAGTTAAAAAATGACTGCTCATCAAATGTCATTTTACCAGAATACTAGAAAAGAATCCAAGTTAATGTTGTCATTCTGAAGGTAAGAAATAGAACCACCAAGATTGGCCGCCCATATCCTGCTCCCGATGGAACACCAGAGACAGAGTATCACCAGAATAGCCAAATTAACGAGACTTAATATTAAAGAAGAAGTTGTGAGCGAAACGTGTGATAAATGTGATCACCGCAGTTAGCGAAAAGAACAGGGAGAATACACGTACACTTGTGGATTCATCAGCTTTTCAATGCGACTTCTTTTCGACGGCGTTTTACCGGAATTTAATGAAAGCTTGGTATCGGCACCGGTAAATAAAACCAGTCCGATTACCCATTCTGTATTCTTCAACACGCATCCCCTAAGGAGCATCGAGTTAAGATTGACCGGAATTTTCTTCGGTCCCCCACGACCGCGTGAACGGCCGGGCAGTCCATGGGGAAAGACCACGGTGGCGTTGTAACTAAATAAGCTTGTCGTCGGCGGCTCGGAATCTACGTAAAAACGAACCGACGCACAATCTTCGGGAGTCGTCACATAATCGATTTCCGATATACCGTTCCTTATTTTTAGATTTGTTTCGCCATCCAAATTTTTGGTCTCCACATAACAAAGAGAATTGGGTTCTGAAGTTGAGAGTATGAGGACATCTATCGAGAAACAGTAAAACAGTTAAATATAACCGGATCACGATGGATGTCTTCGATCGCATATAGTCCGTGAAGCGTGGAGCACAAATAATTTTTTTCCTCACCAGCTGGAATAAAGTCATCATTATACAACTTGATAAAGTCCCCAACGCGAACATCCTTGAACATGGTTTTTTTCCATTCCTTCTTGTCCACTTTTGATTTCTTCGTCGTTGATTCCTTCCATTTTAAAAAACCCGAATTCTTTTCAGGATAGTTAACATTACACCAATTTCCCAGGGTCCAAGTCTTCCGATTATTGACAGATCTATCGGTTACATGTCGCTTGAAATCTTCGAACCCATCTTTTATGGTCGTTATGCCCATTATTATAAACATCGGGAGAGCTGCTACCACGGGGTTAATGGTAGCGAATGCCGGAAACCATTGTAATATGACTAACAGTAAAAAGAAAAAGTTTGCGACACGACGAAATTGTTCGTACAAGTTTTTTGGTATAAAGGTCAGGAGCGTATACTTGGAGGTCGTAACTTTGTTGGAGATATAAGTCTGTATGGGATTTCCTTTTTTGTCCAGCTGGCTGGGTGGCAGAGGCTCGTTGACGAAAACTTGACGTGGAAGGGAAACCGGTTTACGTGGCTTCCAAAACTTTAGACGCTCGAGCATTTTTTTTTTTTTTTTTTTTTTTTTCTCCCTTGGACAGAATCCTGGACTCCAAGTTACTGAAACCTGGGATCGAACAGTGCCTACGTCAACTTATGTCTTCTGGAAATCACCATATCAGTAAATGAAATCCTTTAAATAGCCAAATTTGGTAAGTTCCTCAATGGTACTAAGTAATTCCATAATTCCGTCTCTATTTTAAGCTGCATTATACATGGAATTTGTTTAGGAAGTAAGGTGTACACGATCAACGTCATTATTCCAAATTGGTGCGTGCAGAAATGCACATATTCACGTTACATCCTTTAATGCCAAAAATAACCCCGTGAGGCTTCGTGTAACCTGTAAAACCTCACAACCCTTGTAATTAAGAGAATCTTATTCTAGGGTGCCAAGATATCACCAGTGTCGTATAGTCGTATGCACCCTTCAAAAAGTGAATATTTGAAGTTTTGTATCAGATGCAAAACCATTGAATCCTTTGCACCCCGCGGAAAAACCTTTCACCAAAAAAAGAGTACGAGCAAGCTACTCTCCGCTGACCATAATTTACAATAAGATGTCAACCCTTTCAAAATCTAATCGACGCGTGTCTTATTTTTACGATGGTAACGCCCGTCACCCTCCTTTTCCACAAAATTCTATAAACATTAATTTATTTTTTGCCTCCTCATTTAGAGGATGTCGGGAACTACACGTACGGACAAGGTATAAACTGCACGAAACAAGTTTATCCCCTTACGCTCGCGTTCTTGTATGTTATGCTACCTACCCACTCACGAAACTCTAACCCTTTTAACCAGGTCACCCAATGAAACCGCATAGAATGCGAATGGTTCATGATCTCGTAGTGAACTATAATTTATTTAGGAAAATGGAGATTCTCGTATCCTTTTTCAACGGTTTATCGGAATCTCGCATTTTTTTTGCAAAATTCATTACTCAACCTAGCAATGTCGCGTTCATTGTTAATCCTAGACTCCACAGCGAGCAACAATTAGACAAATGACGCGGTTTCACACGGATGAATACATCAATTTTTTGGAGAGGGTCACACCAGTAAATGTGGAAGAATTATCACAGCAACAAACAAGATGTAACCTATTTCCGTATTTCCTCTGAATTTCTAAAGTTTCACTATTGAGTTCAACTGAATCTTACCGGACCTGCCTAAATGTAGTCAACGTCGGCGAGGATTGTCCGATTTTCGAGGGATTATTCGAATTTTGCTCGATTTCGGCTGGTGGATCAATCGGTTTGTGCATCACCCATCCACCTCTTAAATGTTTTCGCACTGCTATTGTGAAAGAATTTTTTTACCATGTTCGTGTATGAATTAAGATGCCGCGAATAAGTTGACGAGCGGTGAGTCCGACATAGCGATAAATTGGTCCGGAGGACTCCATCATGCAAAAAGGTTTGAAGCTTCCGGATTTTGCTATGTGAATGATATCGTCCTAGCTATCCTTGAGCTGTTGAGGTAAACTTATTGGTTCTATTATCCGCGTGGCATTATTTGATTGACATTGATCGGAAATCTTTGTACAAAAGATTTTATCAGCGCGTCCTTTACGTGGACATCGACATACACCATGGAGATGGTGTGGAAGAAGCCTTTTATTCCACGGACAGAGTGTTGACCTGTTCGTTTCACAAGTTTGGACAATTTTTCCCTGGTACTGGCGACGTTTCGGTATGAATGAATTACCCACCTTTCTGTGTCGTCACCAAGTTCACATTTTGATATTATTATTACGACCACACCAGGACATTGGTATTGGGAAGGGGAAACATTATGCCGTGAATTTTCCCCTGAAGGATGGTATGGACGATGAAAATTATCGAGATGTGTTTCGACCGGTATGGACTATCTTTCTACTTGAGTTTTCAGGATGCGTTCATGCCATTTCCTCAGTGCATTTTTTTAATGAAAGTAAATAGGTCGTGCAGCGCATAATTGAATGGTATAGACCGGGAGCAATAGTTCTTCAATGTGGTGCAGATTCACTCGCCGGGGATCGATTAGGATGTTTCAACCTATCGATGAAAGGTCATGCCGCTTGCGTAGATTTTGTGAAAGACTTTAACATACCTCTGCTGGTTGTTGGCGGAGGGGGTTACACGATTCGCAACGTAGCCCGCGCTTGGACATATGAAACTGGGTTGCTACTGGGTGAACAATTGAACGAAGGTAAGGTTATCGTACGTTCCACCTCCCCCCCGTTCTGCAGTTGATCTCCATAAACTATATGTATAATTTTATAGATCTACCATATAACAACTATCTGGAATATTATGGCCCACATTTCAAATTAGAGGTTCCGGCCAATAACATGGAAAACATGAACACCTCAACTTATTTGGCTGACATGAAGTAGGTTTCATCTCCTTTGTAAGTGAAGAATGTTTTATGTGGCACGTATGCATGTATATAACCGTACCGTGCTGGGTCATCAATAGAGCGAAGGTCTTTGAAAATTTGCGATCCATCCCTTTCGCGCCAAGTGTACAGATGCATCGTAAGTTCGTGTTACTCGGTTTATTCGTTATACTCATTACCGTTTTACACGTGGTTTAACTTATAAATTATAGAGGTGCCATACAACGACGAGTCTGACGAATCCGAGAATGAAGAAGATCCAGATGTGAGAATTTCTCGTAAGTGTGAAGAAGACAAGCTTTGTCCCACTTTACCAACAATAATGTATGCGACCAATGTCCACCTTCTGTATGCGAATAGAGAGACAACGAAACGCGCGCGTTGTACCTGAAAATGAGCTTTCTGACTCGGATGACGAAGGTGGAAGACGAAATGAAAGGAACTATAATGCTAACGGAAACGGGAAGAATGGTGATTTTTCAACACGTAAATTTCGAACAAGCAACAAAACACTATACAACGAAACCGAAAGTCGCGGTTCTTCTTCACGTCCCAGCAAAATAGGTAGTGGTCAAGGACGCGGCAAATCATCAAGGTCTACCCTGATGACGGATGATGTACTTAACACTACAATGATCAGAACTGCGCCAGCGGACACGCCTTCGATAATGGCGCCTCCGAGAAGTTCATCTCGACCTCCGGCGCCATCATCTGATGCTGTGCAGGAAGAACAGATGGCCGACATTCCAACAGTTCACCCGGAAATTCCACAGATTCGTAGTGAAAATGATACATCCAATGTTGAAAACGAAAAGGACGCTATGGATATAGATGCCATAGAGACCGATCGAATAGTGAAGACCGAAGATACTGAAGACGTTTGATTTCAAAATAAATTTAATTCGCATGTCTGTGACAAGCTCCGTTTATTATTATCATTTTATTTTGTACCTAAACCTATATTCAAT